CCAGAGAGAGTGCTTATGTGTCATGGTCTCCAATAGTCTATGTGTCATAGCTGACGTGACGTCAACGTCAGCATTGGTAATACTGACGTCTGGCCAGTGACGTCATGTTACGAACAGTTGTCCTTTTTTTTTTTATATTTTTGTGACTATGATAGTAAAACTGGTTCTATCGTAAGGTTTTTTTTAAGGGGGGAAAATCATGGAATGACTGCTCCCGCCTGGGTGAGGCGGGAGGGAGTGTCAGACTCTTACTGACTAAAAACCACTCCGTTCCTTCTCCTGCACGTCGAGCCGGAGCCCCGGTTACCCGTTAGGTTCTCCGCGACTTTGCCGTAAGGTTGAAGTGCAACTGTGGTGCATTGGGGTATCTAGATTTGATTCTTGTGTTGGTAAACAATATTACTGAGAATTTCGGTTTTCGGAAATTGATACTAATAATACGGGGGTAAAGTTTTACTTCTGATACTATCCATTGGAGGAAGATATGTGCGGAAAATGGGAAATTTTATACGTAGAAATGTTTTAGCTCCTAAACTTTGATTCGTTTTATCTAAGTATTGTTTTATTATACGACAAAATAAAAAAATACGTGTATAATAATTTTTCATTACTTAACTTACGGAATAATTAGATTTTTATTTGCATACCCTGTCAGTATCCCAAATGGCGTCACATAGTCTCTGCCTACCCCCATGGGAGACAGTCGTGACATTACATATGTATGTATGATTATTCCTTATCAATTATCTCAATACTCCATGGCATCGTATCAAAGTGGAATGCACTCAAATCGTTTGTCTCTTTCACACTTCAAATGTTAGAGAGAGATATCTATATCTTAATCAGCAATATTAGTTCAGCTGAACTAGGTTAGCCGATTTTTGACCTAAATTTTAGCACTTGAAGACATAATTTTGAAGTATTAATGCTTAAAAATACTTTGGTACACACGGCTACACATCGAGCTTTACATAACCAGTATAAACTGAACGTTAAATGTGCGGAAAGATGATGCGACGCGACACCAGGATAAACTGGTTTTGTATAGATTGATGTGTGGCCGTGTGTACCTAACGTACCAACGATGCTGACCAGTCATGTAATAGGGGGTGAGCCTATTGCCATATACCGGGCACATTTCCAGACTCCGTGATACTACTGAGATTTTTTTTAAAAACCCAGTGGTACATTGGCCGACCCAGGAATCGAACCCGAGTGCAGTGTAGTAAAAATAAGCGCTTTTTATTACATGCTTATGAATATACATACGATACACATAGTTACCAAAATAATATTTTTTACAATTTTTGTCTGGCTGTTTGTACTGGCTAATCTCTGGAATGGCTGGACCGATTCTGCAATACTTTTATTAGCAGGTAGCTCATGTACTAAAGGAGTAACATATGCTAGTTTTATTTTGAAATACTAGCGACCCACTCCCGCTTCGCACGAGTGCAATATGCATGTATTATCCATATAAACCTTCCTTAAGAATCATTCTATCTATTAAAAAAACCGCATCAAAATCTGTTGTGTAGTTTCAAAGATCTAAGCATACATAGGGACAGACAGACGGCGGATAGCGACTTTGTTTTATACTATGTAGTGATTTTGAAACAAAAAAATAATGTTCTAAAATTCATATACTACGCGGACGACGCGACGTCGCGGACAACAGCTATCAACACATGCAAACCGTCCTGTTGAATTAATATATCTATAAAAAAATCCCATTAAAATCCGTAGCGCAGTTTCAAAGATTTAAGCATACATAGGGACAGACAGCAGACTTCATTCTTTAATACTATGGTTGGGCGTAAGAGTATAGACAATCAATGGAATCACATGACAGACGGTGAACGCGGGAATTTTGTTACGTAATCAATTGTCAAAATCAAAATGGCGGACAAAGGTCAATAAACTTGTGGCATAGCAATTCACTGTTGTGTTACGCATCGGCTCCCATTTTTGGAGGGGCGTTAATCAAAGTACAAATATGTTTATAGGTAGACCAAACTGTGGTTCGCGTGTAAGAAGTCGATTTTTGATGGTGATAGAAATGATACTCAATTGTGTTAGATGCAGGGTGTAAAATTGTTTGTTTTTTGAGTGGCGTTGTTGTTGAACTGTTTTTTTTTTAATTCGGGGGTTATGAAACAAATATAATAAGAGGATTTAATGACGTAGTTATAATACACATTTTTTATTTGTTAATTTTTTCTATTAAATTAATTATTTGGATTTACAATTTATACTGCCTCGTTGGCCGAGTGGTCGCAAGTGCGACTGCCGGGCAAGGGATCTCGGGTTCCATTCCCAGGTCGGGCAAAGTATTACTAGGTTTAAAAAAAAATCTCAGTAGTAAGGAGTTTGAAATTGTGCCCGGTATATGGCAATAGGCTCACCCCCTATTACATGGGACGCATAACATAAATAGTGAAAAGTGGGTGTTACGTACCCCTTCCGTGATGTTACTACTGACATTTACCTACTTGAGAGAAAATAGAGACTACTTGACCGGCAGTCGCATTTTTTTTATAGCATAAGCCGGTAAACGAACAGACGGATCACCTGATGGTAAGCAATCGGCGTCGCCCATGGACACCTGGAACACCAGAGGCGTTACAAGTGCGTTACCGGCCTTTTGGGGTTTAGGAGTTTGAGGATCGTTGGGGATTCAGGGATTGGGGAGATTGGGGAAGGGGAAGGTAATTGGGCCTCCGGTAACCTCACTCACACGACGAAACACAACGGAAGCGTTTCTTCACGTCGGTTTTCTGTGAGGCCGTGGTATCACTCCGGTCGAGCCGGCGCATTCATGCCGAAGCATGGCTTTTCCACAATAAAATAAAATACTGAGTAGTGATGGGCCGACGTTTGTCCACTATCTCGTCTTCTTTTCTCCGTCTCTCGAAAAAACCCTGTGCTACCATCCACTCAAGTAACCAATCCAAATAAATCCGCTTCCAGGAATCTACTAACAAGGTCGGTGACGTCATTAACCACGTGAAATGACGTCATCGAACATCGGATTGTCAAGGATTGCAATTCAGAAATAACATCGATATTGACTATGTTCTATTGTGTTCAAAATAAGTTGCTTTAGTTGAATTTTCCGTATCCATTGTATATTTATAACTGCTTCATTGGCCGAGTCGCAAGTGCGACTGGCCGGGCAAGGGGTCTCAAGTTCGATTCTCAGGTAGGGCAAAGTATTACTAGGTTTTTTTAAAAATCTTAGTAGTAGCACAGAGTCTGGATATGTGCCCGGTATATGGCAGTAGGCTCACCCCCTATTACATGAGACTCATAACATAAATAGTGAATGGTGGTGTTACATTGTATACTGGCATTAATATTGCTTCCGAAAAGTTAGTTTCGGGACGGCTTTGGGGTTATTGCTTTAGTTTATTGAAGTAAAATAACCAACTAATAAGGTTTAATAACATTAATTTAGATTGAATATGAATAATGCTAGATCATTCATTAGTTTACGAGTAACTAACGACCCGCCCGGCTTCGCACGGGTGCGATATGCATGCGTATATTATAAAACTTTCCTTAAAAATCACTCTATCTATTAAAATAAACCGCATCAAAATCCGTTGCGTAGTTTTAAAGATTTAAGCATACATAGGGACAGACAGACGGCGGATAGCGACTTTGTTTTATACTATGTAGGTACTGATTCTCTAATAAATCAGTCGTTAACATAAATAAAACTTCATGGGTATATTTTAAGGAAATACACGCATTCATTGACTGATTTTATATACTTCTATATATATTAAAGAAAGTCGTAGTTACACCACTTATAACTCAAGAACGGCAGAATAGATTTGGCTGAAAATTGGTAGGGAGGTAGCTTAGAGCCAGGAGACCGACATAGGATACTCTTTAACCAACTTACATTTTTCCGAAAATCACGAACGGGGACGGGAAAAAATGGGATTACGCGTACGAAGTCGCGGGCAGAAGCTAGTTAATCATAAAAAAAGGCCCAAAAAGTTTATCAAGCAAAAAAATTTTTATGGTTTTCTTTGCTGCTCATAGTACCTCTAAGCGTATACTCCAACTCCTAAAAATCCGCCCCTAAGACGACTCACTGACCGAATAACTAAAAAACCTAACTATACTTGAAAATAGACCAAGAGATACAAAAATATGGCTTAATTCTCCAAAAAACTCCACAATTGATTTCCGTGAATTTTATTTTCGTTTATGACGCGTCCACAGTCCAGCATATGGAGAGACTATCTCAAAAAAAAATGCCTAATGACGTCAACAAACGACCCGATTACGCAGAACGTCACCCATCCTATTCCTGGCCGCGGTGACGGTCGCTTTACCTAAAAAATTTCACCACTACATTCAACAAGTAATATATAATTATAATATATTCGTGAGTTGCACGGCTGTCATGTTGGGATTGTATATTAAATTGTAGGCAAAAAGATAACGATAATGTGTTATCTAAATAGGTATGCATAACATAACATAAAATATATAACAAAGTTATAACAATTCGGTAACAAATGAACAGATTACCAGACACGAGTTACGTAATCGGTAATTTGGCGGCGGCGGCATCGCATCGAACATTATCCGTTTCGTCCAATAGGGTTACCACTATCAGACATAAGTTTACGCACGCGCAAATAGTTATTTCTGCGACCACCTTATATACAAGTAATTCATTACTGTTGTTTTCTTTTTCAAATGGATATTTAATTAATATATCTTATAAGAAAAAGATAATGCAGTAAGAAATATTTTCAATCTTATTGCCACAGGTGTTTCCAAACGCTGTGTCGGAATCGGAAACACAACCTGTTAAAAAAAAGTTTTAAAAACTTTCAAACTTTTAAAAAAGTAAATTCAAACCGTGTTCAAAGTGGATAATACTCACAATGACTCATTAAAGTTGATAAAGTTGCGTAATCAACTCATTGTGAGCAATTAAACATTTTAATTTACAAAATAAATTAATGAATACTCACAAATCTATGGCGTTCGGGCCGGTGACGTCATTTGAGTCCAAATAGACACCTTCTCCTTGATGGTGCCACAATCCATCGCTTTTAACACAGAAGTACACCCTCCTCCCATCATTAGGTAATTCAACAAGTACATTTTCAAATACGTTATTCACAAACAAAGATCCACATTTTTGCTCGGACGCCGGCTCCAAAGTTAAGGACCATTCATCCACATTTTTCGCGTTCACATCAATATCAAACACACACCTGTTAACATCACAAGTTTTCGTGTATTGTTTTACAGAAAATATCCATGGTGGTGCGACGGCACACGTGCTGATTATTAAAAATAATAATAAAAATAATTCACTAGTCCGTAAACACACTGCGGCCATCTCAACTTCGTGAGCGAATGGAGCGAACTGAATGAATGAACGCGGCGCGCGGCGCGACGGCGAGTAGGGATGGGACGCAACGCTCCGATTGCTTTTATACTCGCTTGACTCGCTTCATTCCGAGTGAAGGACGAATCGATAAGAAGCGTTTTTAGATAAACTTTATCTCTATTTGTAGGCAATGGCTTAGTTTTATAAGTTTTTTTTATTAGATCGTTTTGATATGTCGCTATCAATCATTGTTGAGGATGATTGTTATCCTATTTAGATTGTGCTGTAATATTTATTTTCCCCGTTTACAACATTTGCGTAAATGATAATATGATGTGTGTGTGTGACTATTTTCCACCGCTTACTTCATTCACGTAGGTCTGTATCGCAGTGATCGTAATTTTTTATTAATTTATAAGCATTAAATTGGCTTATGGCAATCTATACTAAAATTCATAGGATCATTAAATAACCACCCACCTTCTTATACGACAGAACTCATAAAATGACTGGAGAATTAAGAACATTGTATATAAATATACCTCTGCATACCCGTTAACAAAATAACAAGCAAGATGATAAATTTAATTTTTAAAACAAAAAACCCAACACGATAATCAGATCCACATGTTACGCACCCCTAACCTTTATCCAAGTACATTTTTAACAATCACAACTACAAATCGATTACAAACTATCAATGCGAAATCGATTACTTCTCTATTCGATTTGTTTAAACAGCGCCCATCACTAGTGTTCTACATAGACGCATCTTATTAGATAATATTATGTACTTACGAACTTAGCTAATTGTCAATTATTTAAATAGTTAAAGACAAATTAGCGTTCAAATACTGAATGGTTACTCAATTTTAAATTGTGCTTCAATAGCGTGCCGTCTCTGTCACTTTACAAAGAATTTGTAGAGACAGAGCTATCTATACTTAAGCGCGACTTAAAATTTAGTGACATACATAACTTCACGCCTGTTTCCCATTGGTAGGAAGAGACTAAGGAACGCCAATTGCTACGATTCTTACATACCTCTTTCGCTTCATCAACAGTCATCAATCTTTTCATGCATGCTCGTCGGTTAAGGGTACTTTTAATTTGGTCTTTCTTTAATAGTTCGCCGAAGGGTATCTCGCCGCCGGACCAGGATCAGATCCGAGCCTACGGCGCGTCTCGTACCGTGCGCTCCTCAAAGAGCCATCAGACCATCACAAATGGGGCCCAATACGGCTGATGCTCGATACAGAGCCTCAGAAGGCCTAACGGGTTACCGGGGCTACGGCTCGAAGCGCAGGAGTAGGAAGGGGGCGGTTTTTAGTCAGTTAGAGTCTGACACTCCCGCTTTACCCAGACGGGAGAAGTCAATGGATGATTTTCCCCTACTCTGAAATAAAAGGGGTAGGTACCTAAAGACGAATGTTAAAATGTAGCCCCCACTTGTCTCCAGTTACGTTATAAGTCCCATCCCATGTAAAAGTCGCGGAGAACCTAACGGGTAACCGGGGCTCCGGCTCGACGTGCAGGAGAAGGAACGGGGTGGTTTTTAGTCAGTAAGAATCTGACACTCCCTCCCGCCTCACCCAGGCGGAAGCAGACATTCGATGGTTTTCACCCCTTAAAAAAGTCCCATTTAATGGGGGGGGGGGGGTAAATGGCATACAGACAGATAAATCCAAACTTCCTTATTTAATACTTTAATTGAAATAGTTTCAAAAAACCGGAAATGTCAATAAAACATTGACCCGCAAATCGAACTCGGGGCAAGAATATTGGCTCAACAACACAGTGATGTTAAACATCTTATTAGAACGGCTGACACGGGGATCGAACCCAACACTAGTATTTTTTTAAGGGGGGAAAATCATCGAATGATTGCTCCCGCCTGGGTGAGGCGGGAGGGAGTGTCAGACTCTTACTGACTAAAAACCACCCCGTTCCTTCTCCTGAACGCGAGCCGGAGCCCCGGTTACCCGTTACACAAGACTAGGATATTGGACCAATAAGTGAGTGTTTTTAAAAATCTAATTAGAATTTTTATTGTTGTTGATATGTTTATGCTATTAATCTATTGCGTTTCCGTCCCGCGGCAAAACATCTTGCCATAAGGAGTACTTTCGATATATAAAGTAAAAACAAAACAATAAAGATATCATTTCTTTTTAGTTTAAAAAATATCATGGAAATACGCACATGAATCACTAGTAGTTTGTAGGCACTATTCGCATCGCACGTGCCACTCGACGAGAAATACCTTGTCGAGAATAGGGTACCTACATTCCTAATTTTTATTTTAATGTCCGTCTCGTAGGTTTTATTTTAAAACATTACCTCTAGATAGGTACGTATTTTTTATTTTCTTACAGAAACGAATACTTTCGACGATATATTGATTTCAAATGTCGGGTGACGTCACTTCTATGTACATTTTATACGTAGAAATTATGTTTAGCTCCCACTCCTAAACTTTGATTCATTTTATGTAAGTATTGTTTTCTTGTACGATAAAATAAAAAAAATACGTATCTAATATTTTTCAATTACCTAACTTATGGACTAAATAGATTTTTAATTTTCAAGAATTACATGGCGTGATGTTTTGATAACGTACTATGAGTTCGTATGCGCTTTCGAAGTTTGCTTTCTGCAATGGTTCACCAGTTATTATTTGTTTTAAACATTTTATTTGTTTGTAAAACTATTGTATTACCGAGACAGAACCATTTTACTTCGGGATAAAAACGAAATAGATTTCACGGTGTAATTTGTATGTTTGTTCCACAATCATGTCAAAACGGCTGAAGAGATCGGCATGAAATTTGGAACAGGGGTAGATTATGGATTGACCACTTTTTATCCTAAAAGAACGCAGGCGAAACCGCTGACAGAAGCTATAGTACTTAATAAACGCACCCATGACACAGTAGACAATCTTAGTGGAGATCAATGTCTACTTAATAAAAATACTTCTTTAAAAAAATAATAATAATAAAAATGTTATCTTAAGGCGTCAAAAAACATTTTCCTTATAGGGTGCCCAAAAGACTGGCAGCATTGCCACGTTGAATGGCAATGCTTAAGCTTTGCCCAAGGTAGTAGCCAGTCCTTCGACCACCTGAAGTGTCAACCATCCTCCTTACAATATCTTTGTAAAGAAGATGTGCACTTGGGCCCCACGGCCATAATTGCCAATCAATAATTCTTAAAATATTTTTTTAAGGTATTTTTAAATTTTAGTTTTTAGTTTTATATATATTTATTTAATTAAAATTATTATGATAAACATTGTAACGCACAATACCTTAATTCTATTATAAACTACGTTAAAAAAACCAGCTTCACCCCCTTTCTGAGGTCGTTTTATTAATATACTAAAACCTTCTCCTAAGTGTAACAAACACTTTTCTGAAACCCGCATCAAAATCGAATCGGCCAATAGCGAGGTAATCGTGCACAAACATGCATACATACATACGAGTTCAACAGAGAACGTCCTTTTTTTGTGAAATCTGTTAAAAATATCGGGTGTTAAAGTATTCGAAATTATCATCAAAAATACTGAATTGCTCACTAAATGACAATGCCAGATCCTGACTCAGCCAAACTATCATTTACAAAAAAAGTAAATTGATGAAAATAATTTTGACGAATAAGGAATCACATTAAATCTTTTTATTTTTAAATTTGCGGTTTACAATTTAATAAAAAAAGAAGTTCAATCCCGGAAATACTTTTTTGCGATGCGTATTCCATATTGTCTATTTGCAATACGTCATACGCATCGCTTAAAAAAGTAAGTAACTGTAATAAAGATATCACTATACAACATAAAATATTATATCAAGAGTATAATTAAATTATGCATAACATTTATTCATTTATTTATAATTACAGATGAAATTGCGAATGATTGCGATGATTTTCACTCCAAAAAACCTAACCTATTTTGTAATTCTAATAATTCATAACCTAACCTATTTTGGAAATTTCGTTGTCATATTGAACAATTTGTGTGCAAATCAGTATTTTTGTTTTACGATGTTATATGCTTTTGTAATATGTAGTTAATAAAAAATTCTGGAAAATCATCCAATGACTTCTCCCGCCCGGGTGAGGCGGGAGGGAGTGTCAGACTCTTACTGACTAAAAACCACCCCGGTCCTACTCCTGCACTTCGAGCCGGAGCCCCGGCAACCCGTTAAATCTTCCGCGGCTCCGTATCTGCATCAGCCCTGTTAGGTCCCATCTGTGGTGGTCTGATCGCTCCTTGGGGCGCGCGCGGAACGCGACGCGCTGTACGCTCGGGTCTGGTTCTGGTCGGGCGGCGAGTCACCCATGATCGCCGTTCGCAGGCCCGTGCTTACGGTGGCCGGAGATCGTCTCGCGATCCCCGACGCCCGGAGTGTCTCTCGCGACAGCCGGGTCGTGAGGAGGTTCGTTCCCTCACGCGCTCCGCCTCCTCCTTAGCTAGCATGACTGCTTCGCAGAAGGAGGAGACGGCATCCCAGTCCCCCTCGCTCCGTACCATGGTCTGAACCAGAGCCGGACGCGAGAGGTCGCCGTCGCCGATCACATTCCTGAAGACACGGCGGTGCTCAGTCCACGCAGGATACACCACCACCGTAGTAATTTTTTTGATATGCAGTAGGTCGGTGTCACGGAAGACTTAACGGGTTGCCGGGGCTCCGGCTCGAAGTGCAGGAGAAGGAACGGGGTGGTTTTTAGTCAGTAAGAGTCTGACACTCCCTCCCGCCTCACCCAGGCGGGAGCAGTCATTCAATGATTTTCCCCCCTTAAAAAAAAAAAAGTAGGTAGTAGTAGGTAGGTAGGTCTTTGTACATTCCTAGGGATGTGTCGTAACAGGCGTTGCACCGTGGAGGCGCCGGAGCAGGTCTCTTATAGAGGACCCGGTGCCTCCATTCAGGTGTTGAGGGTGGCCACCGGGGTGGTTTTAGTGAGGTAAAAATCCCACACTCCCTAGTCTTTTATCCCCAAAAAGG